TGTAGCTGAGTTCAGCTTTTTCTCTTTTAATGCTTCTTCCTGCCTATGTTTTGGGACTAGATCAGCTGCAATGGCTTTACCCTCAGTGACCAAAGAGGACTGCAGGCTGTGGGTGTGGGAATCTTCCCCAACCTCTGCCAGGCCAACCATGACTGCTGGCCCAACTGTACCGTCATCTTCAACAATGGCAAGTGAGTGGATTTCCTTCCTGGGTTGCAGTGGGGATGCATCCTAATGGGCAACTCAGCAGATTCTGCTAACCCCACAGTGTCAGATCCCTGCCCCAGAAAATCTATTCATTTTTGTTTCTTTCTCTAGCTCAGAAAATAAATATCAGGATTTTCTTTCTAAAGAGGAACTATTTTCTCTCTCATTATTGTTATTTTAAAAATTATTGTCTGATACACTAAACAATTATACAAGATTTGACCCCAAATCCAATGAACCAGCAAAGAATTTTTCCCTGGTTTCTATGAGTTTTGAAACCAGACTCAAAATAAGCAGATAAAGTGCTAAGCAGCTGCCTAGATCACTCCTTATATTGAGGCTTTATTTATAAATAGTTAAGGAGCAATTAAGGTTATAGGGCTTTGAGCAACCTGGTCTAGTGGAGGGTGTCCCTGCCCATGTCAGGGGCGCTGGAACTAGATGGACTTGAAGGTCCCTTCCAACCCAAACTGTTCTATGATTCTGTGAACGATTATACTTAGTCCACAGTCCAAGAGTTTCTCGTAACCGAAGGTTGCAATCAGCTGTGTAGCACTATCTGCTGATGCGTGTATAACCATTCCTAACACAACCCTCATCTTTGTGAGAGTGTACCATCTCTATTAATCACTGATTAACTCTTTAGCAATGGGATTGTAATGACTCTGCAAACCGAGTCATGTGCGAGTGCAGGATGCCCTAAGCTGCTGGGCATTCCCCATTCCCACCCAAGTTGTGTAAGAAAACTTCTGTGGGATGTGTGAGATGCAAAGAGATTAAGTGAGAAATGCAGGGATGTTTCAGCAGAGCTGGGAGTGGAGGCCTCTGCTCTCAGTGTTTGGGGCAGCCCACGGGAGGGATGCTCTGCCCTTCCCAGCCTCCTCCCAGGCCAGAACAGGTATAAACTGCTGCTGATCCAGCAAGTTGCATCGTGTGCAAGACATTAACTGTGGGCAACTGCTTGCAAAAACCTGCACAGCCGCAATATTTCATCCAATTTTTCCACTAGGTCTTAAGATTTTACAAATTGCCATGTTCACCAAACTTTAGTGCTATAAGTTAGCCCCCTCCCAGCCCCACTCCTCTTCTTTAACACGTTGCTTGTGCACTCCCGTTCTTGCTGCTGGTTTTACCTGATAAAACTATGCCAGTGTTTATCAAGCAGCTGGTAAACGAGCAAAGAGAAAACAAAACTGCATTAGGGTGATTACCTTGGTGGGAAATAGGGTCTGATCCAAAGTCAGATTGGAGTCTGTGCCAATTGCCCTGGATCAGATCCATAGTGGGATGATGGAGAGCCTCTCCAACCAGCCTGGGAAGGGGAGGAGGTAACTAGCAGTGACAGCAACCCCAAAGTCTGAATTTCTGGGTGGTAAGTAGAGGAATGGCGGGTTTTTTTGCCTGGCAGCTTGTCGAAGTTCCCACACGTATCCTGTTACTGACTTTAAACCTTGACCATGTGGTTGTGTGGTACAATTGGCCAGGTAAATGATGAAGGTTTCTTGTCTTTCTATGGAAACTTGGTGATAAGCCCCTGTTGTGGGAACTGAGCTCTTTGTCAGCACTCAGGGCACAATGCTGGACTTGAGGACCCACTAAACTCATCACACAGAGCACAGTCCTTGCTGATATCCCAGTCTGATTTCCATTTCAAGCTGTGTTTTAGAGAGCATGGCTACTGATGTCGGTGGAGACATTTCTGTGCAGGATAACTAATCCTATTGCACCTACCAAACAGCAGCAGCAGGTTTTGCTCATCCCCTGGCCGAGACCACTCCTAAAATCACAATACCACGACAGCTCTCTCCCACATCCACTGTGGCCCAGCGATGGGTGATTCGGTTATGACAGCTGCATAGCAAAAGTGAAGCTCTACATGCAGCAAGACATGAGCCAGGCACCAGGAACCCTCTTGTCCCCTGTCAGGATGATGTCCCAATGCTCTACACCATGTTCCCAATCTTTTTTTGTTGTACTTGTACCTGTGTAAACTGCAGATGTTTGTTTTGTCTTTCAGTCATGAGGCTGTAAAATCAATGTTCCACACACAGATGAGGTGGGTCGGTCTTGAAAGCATAATCCTTCCCTGTACCCCTCATGCCCCATGTTTAATGGAAAAGCTGCAAACAGCCCGAGGGGCTCCCTGTTTGCAGCAAATTTCACTTTCCTTGTTTTCTGAACTCCTCCCGCGTGTAAAGCCCCACTAAACCCAAACCTCACTTAACTCTGCATTTTGTAGTAAATTAAAACGATAGTGGTAATACTGTGACTGTTTCCCCCACAACAAATTTCCCCCCCTACCTTCCCACCCTCTCCCTTGGCTTCCTCCCTGTCAGTATTTCCCCTCTCCACTTCTCATTTCTCCTCCCCTGACTACGGCAAGAGCATGAAAGTCAGAACAAGGTCTTGCTAATCTTGTACAGCCCAAAATAAAACCTTGCGTATTAGGAGATGAGAAATGATTGCATTACTGACATACTAAATAGTCCACGTTTCTTCTGCAACAAATTGTGCCCGTTGAATGCGTTGACTACAGTAGCAATACCATGAGATGTAGGTTTCATCCTTTTTCATCATAATACCTGATTAATGTTTTACCTTTTAATGATGCCACTGTTACCTGATCGAAAATAAAGAAATTGCTAAAATGTATGAAAAAAAAGAGAAGTTCTCTGCTTAGCTCACTGTGCTCAGTATATTATAGTCAGTCCTGTTAAAGGGACACTGTTGTCCTTAAACTTTGATTTCAAGCAAACACACAATTTCCTCAGATAAGACGTGAAATACTTTTGAAGTGCTCTTCTTCACTATTGACGCTCACTCAGTGCATTATAGATAGGACCATAAAAATAGGCAAATGCATTTCACTTCTGCTTAGAGGTGCTATTTGGGGGCAATTTGAGTTTTGAGCTATTGGGCACTCACTGTGCCTGTGCATGTGTCTCTCAAGGTCCTTGGGGCTTGGGGCAGAGTCTGGGGAAAGAGCACGGGACAAGCTCAGTGGGGTGCTCTCAGCTGACAGTGTCTCTTTAACTATAGCATTTAAAATATGCCATGTGTTTCCAGGCTTATCCCAAACGCTATCAATCCCTTCTGCACAAGGGACGGCTGCTTAAAATATACCTATGGTGCTTAGGCTATCAGGGGCATCATAAAAGTCAGAGGCTTGATTTTGCTTCTCTGGTTGCATGACTCACTTTAACAAGGATCCCATTAAGTCTGAACAGGAATGTTTATGTGTGTAAACCTTTCTGGTTGGAATTGCTCTTTTTCATGCACTTTCTCCTGGGGTAGTGAGTTATACCTTTCTCTGGCTGGCATTTTCCCGTGGTTGTGATATGACTAATAGCTGCCCTTTGTGATGATGGCATGTTTAGCAATAAATTTTGTATGAAATATGCTGTTGATATGATCTAACACCCAGAGAAGGTCAAGACCAGCCTCAGGGAGTAGTTTTCACGGCAGCTTTAGCACAGCTGAAAGGCTCAGAGCTACACCCTTGGTGCTGAGAGCTTCTAATGGGAATTACAAGGGAATTACAATCCCTTTGCAGAAGTATGATCACACAGAAAAAGTCATGTCAGAAAAACTCATGTCCTCCCCAAAAGACTTATTTTTAATACAGCTGGTGAGACCTTTGGGTTCTATGCCACCTATGCATTTGGTGAGAACTTGATTGGGTCCCATCTAAAGCCCGTCGTGTCCAGGACGGACCAGCAGGTCCCCCCCAGATCCATCCTGTAGCAGGCGTGTACATCAAACACGCTGCTGAGCTCAGCAGGAGGACGATCGAGGCATACGCTGCCCGTGGTGAGGGAGTCCCAGGACTGACGTACCACACTGTAGTGCGATGGTAGGGTGGGAGCTCAGACCATGGGACTGGCTTCATTTTGATAACCTGTAAGTATGCCTAGCTGCAAAAATACGTTTAATCATCTAACTGGTCTGAGCAGACAGCCCAAGGTCACTGGTCTCAAGTGAATTATCTCTAACCGTGGGTAGAATCACTAGTAGATGGGGGAGTAGATGGGTACAGAAGCATCACCTTGCAATTGGTATTTGATGGAGGTTTTTCCCACTCTGGCCAAATTCTTCAGGCAGTTGTGACTGCCCAGCCCCCACGATTGAGTGATGGCCCAGAGTAACTGGGAGATTTAGTGTGTAGAATGAAAGAGCGAGGGAATAGTTTTAAGTGTGCATGGTATTTCAGACATTTTGCAGGGAAAGACATGAGAGAAAGGCAGGTGCAAAGATCTGGTTTTCCAAAAGCCTGTCATTAAAGATTTGCTGTGGATTTTGGTTTAGTAAGAGAGACCGGTGATTTCCCTGTGTTTAATATTAGCAATATCAGATCAAATGGGCTATATAAAAATAGACTATTTCCAGAGAATTGTTTCTAAACCTTTATGTAGAGATGCATGGACAGGGTGAGGGCATCTCTTACCCAGCACCCAGAGGGAATGTGTCTTAACGTTGCAGAGTGAAAACGATACCGAAAGCAGCATGGCTCGGGATCTGGGACACTAGCCAGGGATATGTGGGTAGCATGCAAAACAGTACTTAAAAAAAAGACCCAAAGTCCAAACTCAGCATTTTTCAAGGCTTGTTGGGTATTTCTGATCTCACGGTTTTCTTCTGGCAAGATCCCCTGTGACATAATAAAACTTTATGTCTAGGTTCAGCTCCCATCTAGATAAAGTAATGGAGCCTTAATCTGTCTGTAGCTCAGACCCTAATGTATCCCTGCCAGGGACTTGCAGAGGGGCAGGAGAGACTGGTGTGACCATGTTTTTACTCTGTATTCAGTTAACCAGACTGCTGCCCGTCTCTGCGTTGCCTCCCTGAAGAGCTAAAGCAGTACCTTGGGGCAAGAGCTCAGCTCTGCGAGGCAGGGGCAGGTCACAGGATTTGTCTTTGATGGCTCTATGGTTGCACCTTTGCTTCTGCTGTTTCTCCAAGTCCACATCTCATCTCCTTTGCACCCAGGATCGAGCTACGGGCACTGAGCAAGATTTCTCCAGGGGACGAGCTGACCGTTTCCTACGTGGATTTCCTCAACGTGAGCGAGGAGCGGCGGAAGCAGCTGAAGAAGCAGTATTACTTCGACTGCGCCTGCGAACACTGCAAGAAAAAGATCAAGGATGACCTGATGCTGGCGGTGAAGGCGGGGGAAAGCAAGGTATGGTTTGTCCTGCTGTGTCCAAACCCAGAGGTGTCTGCGTCCCCTCCACCAAGGCATCTGTGGGTCTCTGTGGTTCTTCAGCCTGGGGACATTTCTAAATAGCAACGCGGTCAGATTTTGGCAGAAGCCTGACTGACCAATGTGAAAAATGAGAACAGAACTGAACCTTGATCAAGCATGACACCAATTCAAGCCCACCATGCAAGGCCAGTTTAATCCCTATTATGCAACATACATGCAGTTTTTCATTTAAAAAAGCCCACAAAAGTTGCCTTTAACTCTAACCTAACAGTCCATCAACAGGCAGAATGCTAAAATTTTGGAAAATTAAGTCTAGAGCTGAGAAAAATGCTGGCATTTAGATTGTAGTTGTGGGGTTTTTTGAGGAACTGAAAGGGAATCAAAGTTTTGAACAGCAGAAAGGAAAATGCATAGCAGGTGATTCATGGTGACAGGACTCACCAGTGCTGCTGAAGCTGTATGGTTTGTAAAACGTGTACCATCACACTGGTTCAAGGAAGGTGGGAAGCCTGAACTTCCAGTCCCTCCTTGTGAAGGCCTGTCACGTGGAATTTGTACCATCGCTTGACATTTCTGCATGGTTGCTGTGGGCAGACTAACTGTGAAGAATTAACATGTTTGACCATTCAATTTTAAGTAATCTGTGTTTTTCTTGGAGGTTTCACAAGTAATTCAGTGGGAGGGTGTAAGGCTGTGTCTTGCTGTCGGCAGTGGGATGTGTTGCTTGGCCAGCAGCTCCAGTTTATGAGCATACTGGTAGGTCTAAGAGTTTCATTTTAGTTCCTCTGCGCAAGGATATGATTGCTCATAGTTTTTGTCCTCTGTGACAGTGTTAGCTTAGGGGATTTCTACTCCTGCAAGCTTTACAAATTGTATAAGGGAAGAGCATTTTAATGTATCATCAAGTCATTGATCGGTACTATTGAACAGTCACGTAACGAACCAGCCAGCACAGCTCAGGGGCTGACGTGGGGCAGGATGAAACAGCAAAGGTGGGATGAGGAACCATGACCTCTCACACTAGCACTGCCACGAGGAGAGGCCCATGGAGCTGCATCTTCCTGGGAACGAGTACAAAACCCTCAGCCTCCAGCTCAGCACAGTCACCAGAAAGCCAAGCTCAGTCCCATGAGTTTTCTTTCATACAGGTGGTGGTCAGGAAAGGCTGGATATTGCAGAACAAAAGTCTCTCTTTGAGCAAGATTTGGAGAAACAGGATCAAACTGGTATCAGGAAGCTCCTATGGGAAGTAGGACACAGGGACAGACAAAACCCTTTTCTTGTTGGGTTCCCCACTAGTGCAAAAGACCTTTACTAAATTATCAAGCTTCATCTTAAAGCTAATCCTGACTAGTGAAACTCCCTGCTGCTAAAGTAAAGCTGTCCCAAAGCCTCAGTCCTCTGATGCAGAAGCATTTTAGTCTGACTTGCTGTAGAAGTATTTTCGAACACCTCCTCCAGTGGATGGCATAAAAGTCTCAGCTGTCAAGCCTTGACCGAACAGTGAGATGCACCATCCGCTTTTCATAAGCATCAGAGATTTTCTGCACCATGCAGTGGGAAGACACGCACTTTTGGGTAAATGACCTCCACAATCTGAAGTGCTTGTATAGAAAAAGCCTGTAACTATGCAAGGTGCATGATTTCAGCTATTAAAAATACACTCCATCCACAGACAATAAGTTCCCAGACTGACCTCACCCACAGAGCATGTCTGCTCGCTGCCAGCTGTATCGCATTTTCTGAATTCAGGCTCACTTGCCTGAGAGCAGCAACACTCACAGCTGCGTGGAAAAAGCACTATGAATATATGCAAGATTGACAGCTTACATCCTCAACAGCCGCTCCAACCTCCAGTCCTTCACCCCTTCCAAATAGTAGCAAAGTTCCCATTGTTTATAATGGCAACAGGCTTAGGGGTCTAGGAAATGCAAGAGAGGATTTTTATTAGACAAAGCTGCTGTGGAAGTGCTGGTTAAAGTACCTATTCTGGGAGTCTTTACTCAGACAGAACAGTGGTATGATTTGCACTGATGTTAACGTTACCTTTGAAAGTGTCCTGTGCAGTAGGACACCCTGCATGCTGCTCAAACAGCTGCCAAAATCTGATTAGCCATGATAGCTTCAGTCTAATAATATAGAATAATAAATCATAAGACATACATTTCTATCCATAAATAGATGGGGGGTATGTGGCTCTGAAAACCTTCTGGTTTTTCTTCCACGCTAAACTTTCAAGAGCTTTCCCTAGCTAGCTGAATTTCACAGATTCCTCAAAAATCTAATTGACCACATGTGGGAAAAAGACAATCCTGACTCCAAATCTTTGCATCCTTCATTGCAACGTTGGGTCTCTGCTTTTGATCCACACCCAGAGGTCTTGCCTGGCTGCTAGGCACATGCCTGTGCTCTGATCTATTGTGTGTCTCCAGACCAGCCTCTTCCTGCAATCTCCTGAAGTCAGGAGATTGTGAGCTGATTTCAGATTTCCCATTTTAAAAAAGCAAGGTCATGATAGCTAGAATAATTTGAAAAGGCAAATTTGAAAGGCTCAGAAAAGTGGAAGGTGAATGATGATACTGGATGAATGATGGCGCTGGATATCATAATGTTATATTTCACCATTATATGAAGGGAGAGGAGGCAGCTGATTAGGAACTAGTTAGTCTTTTGTCAGGCATGCCTAGATGTGCATCATGCCTTCAAATACATGGTGAAATCCAAACTTCTTTGAGATGTGTGGGAAAACACATTTCTGTCTTTGGGTGCAGCTGAAATCAGAGGTCAACCATCTTATGGTGTTTGGACCTAATGACGGCAATTCTTAGAGTAGGTAAAATTCAGTGATCTTTCCTATCTTTTCCACCCATCTCCCTTTCAGGGACCTCATTTCTCTCAAGCAGTTTCACTAGGAGCCCCTGATACACACCAACTGGTGGCTTTCATGGCCTCTTTGGTATCTTGTGAGACCTCCCAGTTGCAGGATGAATTATGTCCCTTTTCGAGAGGAGAGAAGTGGGGGGAAGAGTCGAGGAACCCAGTTATGCATGCGTGCCAGAGGTACATGACCACGACCCTGATGAGCAATGCTCTTGCTGAAGTCAGCAGGAGCTTCACCTCTCAACTTGGTAGCAGGACCATTTCAGCTCAGTCTTGGGCAGGTCTGAGGAGGCACACTGGGATATACAGCCAGTGCTAGGAAGGTAGCGAGTGATGTGGGAAGCATCTCACTGAGCTGATTTGGGTTCCCAAAAGGGAACAAGCATCCCTTCAACCAGAGTGTTTTGGTATGTGTCAGGCTGTTTTCCTCACTGGTTTTCCTCACTGGTTTTCCTAATATTGTCCCCAGCCCTCTGCAGAGACGGTGAAGGAAGTCACCCAGTTCTCCAAGGACACGCTGGAGAAGATTAACAAGGCCCGTATGGAGGGACTTTACCACGAAGTGAGTCTCAGTACTTTTGCTCTCTCACTGTATATGCATTGCCAGGGAAAGCAGGTCTTGTCCCTCTCTACGTCAATGATTTAAGGATGAAACAAACCCTAGTTGTTGTAATCTGAATATCCTCTCATGTTCCCTGCCCTCTTGGCAGCTCAAATTGCAAAAGCTGACACTGCTTTCTGCCCTCTGTAAAGCATGACCATGTTTGAGACAACATCCCAACTTGGTCTCTTTGTAGTGATGATACAAGGAGATGTAAGTGGCTTCCAGCACCTCTGATTGGCACAGGTGTTGAACCAAGGGGCAAAAAACATGAGTTACAGGGCAAGTGTAATGAGTCATCCCTGCCAGGAAGCTTCACAAAAAGGACGCCAGTGGGTTTGCGAGGGGGACAGGACAGCCAGGAGACTTGCCACAAACATTGAACTGTGGGCTGTGTTTGCCTGTGTTGATCTTCTCTTCACCTCCTGGCTTATGTGTGTTGCTCATTTGTTGGGTGCTGAAAATGGGTGTGTGATGTGGGAGACCCACCTCCCACCTGGAGCTTGGGTCAAAAGGGTGAGAGAGCTCAAGTAACTTCTTCCTTTCTCCCTCTTTTGCTGGCCCAGGAAATATTTAAGTGTTCTCTTCAGAGTGTAACAGCTTCAGGGAAACGCTCCAGGTTGAGCAACATCCTATCAGTTTGAAGTTACTTTGGGAAAAGGCTGAAGCCCACCAGAGCAGAGATCTGGATGTTGGGTCATGGCTAGGTGCAGCCATGACACAGCCGAGCAGACAGGCATGGGACAGTGCAGCTGCGTGTCTCCAACCCATGGGGTCATTACGAGCATTCATTACATCAAGTGCTTGTAGGAGGTTGGGTGGATGGTATTGGGGTATAAGAGTCCTGTTGGCACTTGGTCTCTGATAAAAGCCAACATTCTCCTGAACAATAGACATCACTTTTTCCTCACCAGTTTTATGAATGTAACCCTGAGAGAGGAAGATCTGAGCACCAATTATTTTGCTAGGCTGATGTTTCTCAACAAATAAAAGCATATGCTATCTTCCCCAACCTTCATGGAGGCTGACTTGACCTCTAGGACTGGTATGGACCATGCAACCCACAGGTCTTTAATGTGGTAGCTTCAAGGCCAAAGGTGCTCTGACTTTCCCTTCCTCTCCCTGCTTCCCCTGGGCGCAGGTTGTGAAGCTCTGCCGCGAGTGCCTGAAGAAACAGGAGCCTGTGCTGGCGGACACGAACATCTACCTCCTGAGAATCCTCAGCATTGCATCCGAGGTGCTCTCCTACCTCCAGATGTTTGAGGAAGCAGCTGACTATGCCAAGAGGATGGTGGACGGCTACCTGTATGTCTGTGCCCTATTTTTGGCAGCTCTCTGGTTATGCAATGTCAGGCAGGGTGTTACAGGAATAATTTTCTTAGTCTGCTTCCATCAGGGCAGCGGTGCTGGGATTCAGATAGGGACCTGGTTATAGCACCAGACAGAGAGAGACCCCTTCCTAAATGCACAAGAGCTCCCAAATAACCTTGATTTACTAAAACTGCAACTATGGTTTGGGTACGTCTTTCATTAGACTCTTCATTTTGTCTCAGAAGCATCTCAGGGTTGCACTGGTAGCAAGACACAGAGCCTGGGTGCAGGACAGAGATGCTGTCACTGCAGGAGATGGTCTATTCCTTGCACTCTGCAGGAAGGGGGAGCTGCAGAGAAAAGAAAAATGGTGTCAAATGGCTGTCACTCAAGATATCCCCTCACTCATGAATAATACCTGGATTTTTGTCTTGGCTAAGTAGTATGCACAAGTCCTGTGGTAAAAGCTCAGTGAGAACGAAGAAATTCAGGCTTAGTTCACATAGATCCAGGGCAAACCTCACCGTAAAAATGATATATTTTATTATTACTGAGGTTTTACTACAGAACTGATGAGTATTAATTAGGAAAAAAAAAAGTAAGGGAAACCGTAGAGAGCAGAAGAGAGAAAAGCCCATTTTGTCATCTTGTTCACCCTCCTACTGAGAGCATGTCATACCCATTACTTGTCTTTTTGGTCAATTCTACCCCAAAAGGCCTCTGATATTTTGTTCTTTTTCAGAGGGGTGACAGAGTCACCACCCTGGCTTGCAAGCCTGACAAGCCACTTCATGTCCCAGCCCTGGCACTGAGCTAATTGAATGACACAGAGAAAACTGCTTGCCCTGCCTGTTCCTCAGTTTCTCAGTCCAGAGTGTGGACTGCAGTAATTTCCTTCCTTGCTTTAAGATCTGCCAATTCAATATGCCAACGAAGCCCCTAAAGGCAGGTTTTCGGGTAAATCAAAGCAGCTTCTAACTCTGCCCAAGCTTCTAATGTTGGATGTAGAGGCCAGTTTTCATTTTTCCCACCATGGGTAGTGACTGTAGGGGAGTGATCTTACAGTCCCTGGAGGCAAGGATGCATCTCCAGTGGGTGAGATGAACATTTCTGGAATTTTTGGAACCACCTGTTTCTCTCCCCACATTGAATGAGAAGCTGCTGGTTGTTGCATTCTCAATTTAGGCACTTCATTAAGGATCTGAAATTAAGTTGGTGCCTTCTGGGCTGTAGGGTCAGATCTCGGTTTTGATTGTGTCAAAATAATGTGGAATGACAGAGCCTGACATTTTCCAACCCAGGTGTCCAGCTTTCCCCAGTCGCAGGTTGTTCATCCTCTTTCACAACAACTCATGTCCTTGTATAACTCGTGTACTTGTGTAACATGCCTTCCCCTTTCTAAGCAGGGCTGCACGTTTCAGTGGCACTGAATGCAATAGGATCTTCACTTGAGTAAACAGTCTGCTCTTTGGCAAACATGTCATGTCACTGACAAACATTTGGAAACCCAGATCTTTCCTGAACTAAAATTACTCAATGTTTTTCCAGGAAACTATACCATCCCAACAATGCACAGCTGGGGATGGCTGTGATGCGTGCAGGAGTGACTCACTGGCATGCTGGTCTCATTGAAGCTGGGCATGGCTTGATCTGTAAAGCCTATGCCATTCTCCTGATAACCCATGGACCTTCCCACCCAATTACCAAAGACCTGGAGGTAGGTGTCATCCTCTGTGTTGTCTTTGCTGTCTGTCTAGGAAAAATTACATTCAAGCTGTAGAAACAATCCATCCGTAAGAGCTGACAGATGGATCAAGTACTGACTGCTTCTTCCTAGTGCTGTGGTTTTATCTAAATTACATTACAGTCTGCTGGGAAATGCATGGCCTTTCTCATGGGAAATTTTCATCCTGTAAAATAGCTTTTATCCTGCACCAAGGCATCCACTAAAAATGGCCACTGAGTCCCTGAATCTTCTGTAAAACTGCTATGCCCAAGGACAGAGCCTCCCATTCTTCAAACAGCCTGATTTCGCTGCTCTTGGATGGACGGCATTACAATTTGACTGTATCAAATTATGTGTGGTGGATGTTCTCAGCTTACCAACTTATTTCCTTTATCGGTATCCATTCTTTATTTACTACTCCCCAGTCCTTCTGAGCTGCAATGTATTTTCTCTCAAATGACTGATAGGTGTATTTCCTAGTTTAGGGTCAAGAGCTGCAGATCCCAGGGAATGACATCTGCTCAGCTGTGATGAACTATTTACGATTACAGCTGGGGATCCATCATTTCTTTAGCCTTTAACTCACCTGATGTGACCTGTTGGCCTTACAGCATCCTCCTTTATTAACCAAAATAATTACATGATATGAAATGAATCCTTTATTGGTGTCTTAGTCTTTGTTATAGCAGAGCTATAACCTTTATTAGTACAATTTTATATCATCAGAAAAATGAATATCTAGTACCTAAAGCCAACCTGTCTGTTGACTGCTTGCCTATATATATCAGAGGGAGAGATCCCAGCACCTCCATTTCTGTATCTCCCTTCCCACTTACTTCAGAGAGAAAATAGTGGATATATGACACATGCTTATTTCTCTGCTTCTAAACCAAGGGTTGAATAAACTTGTAGACAGGCGTAAAAAGATTTCCTAAAATACCTTCTGAGTCTCTACCATAATGCAGCACTAGGAATGACTGCTCACGGTGAATCCTGGGTTGCAGGGGTTGCAACTGTGATGTTGTCAAAGAAGGGCTGAGCAGCCCCCTCCACCTCTCCTGCCTGGTCCCCCATGAGGTGACCCCCACCCTGGTGATGGGTCATACCAAGGGTCAGGCCCAGGGTGTGGATGAGCTCCCTGGCTCTGCACAGCATTGCTTCTAGGTTCTGCATCAGGTTTGGGAGTGTGAGGCTTCCCAGCAGCCTGCGGAAGAGCTGGGTGCAGGAAGGGCTGATGCTTCTTCATCTTCACAGTAACCAAGTTTGAGAAAGTAACTGGATATCTGTGTCCAGTCAAATTTGGTCTTGCTGGAGTATCACCTAGATTGAGTTGCATCAATAATTACATGGCCTAGGACACCCCTGAGGGACAGTCCTCATTTTTAGGCAGTACATTATTTACTTGCTTTGAGATCTCCTGTGTCACAGGTTTTGTAACCTGTTGTGTCCCTCAGGTAATGCGTGTCCAGACAGAGATGGAGCTGCGCATGTTCCAGCAGAATGAGTTTGTGTATTACAAGATGAGGGAAGCTGCCCTCAAAAACCAAAAGATTCAAGTCATGCCTGAACCAAGCAATGAGACCTCACCAAGCCTCTTCCACAAGAAGGAATAAACCCCAAGATTGACACAAATTCATGCCTGTGGGATAACATCACTTGTGGCATCTCCAAACACAGGAATGTGTTTGGAGATATATAGGAGATATATAGGAATGTGACATATCCATAAGGAGTGTTTCCAGTGGCACCAGTCTGACAACATGGACCTGCTGGGGGAAGAGTCCTGAAAAATCTTCTGAGAGCTAAAACCAGAAGAGATCTTGGCAGGAACAACATCCTTTTTCTACCACTAGCATTAAAAATCAAAGCAAAAAAAAAATCTATTATAAAATTATTTGCATCCTCATTGGAAGCCTGTTTCTCTCTACATAAGTCTTGATCCTGAAGTCCTTGGTTAAATTTTAATTCATTCTTTCCTAAGTGTTTTTTCTCCCATCACTTCCTTGTGATCATCATTTCTTTCCAGTGAAGTCCATGGGTGGTTGATCAAGGGACAGTAGCAGTGGTAAGCTGGTTCCATAAAGAAAGTGTTTTGTGTAAAGTGGCATTTTTCTGATGAAAAACTGATGAAAAATGATTCTGCAGCTGTCACAGGTGCAACATCAAACTGTGGGCACTTTGCAAGTTTGGTTAAGTAGAGTTCCTACATCAGGATAAATTAATTAGGCTAAATTAGTCTCTTTAGTTAAAAATCAGAAAATGCAGCAATGGCAGCAGATGGGTATGAGATCGTTCTGTGCCAGAAGCCAGTTGCACTGGTGTGGTGCACTGGCTGTGTGGATTGCTGTAACTGAACAAGCAGTTTCCAGGAAGGAGGATCCACCTTTGTTCACCTTCAGGGTGAGGTGGGGTCTCTGATGTCTTTCAGCACCTGCCTTTCAGCTTAGACAGATGCTTAATCAATTTTACACTGAGAAAAATAGTGTCAACAGATCAACTGCCAGTAGGAAGTCAATTGAGCTAAGGAAAAAGTCTGAAGGCAATGGTTGTGTTTCTAAATAAAAAAAGGTCTTTGCTGTCTGCCCATCTATCTCAAAATCCAACTGGTTTGCTCCAGACCTTCAGTGACAGCCAAGAGATGACAAGGAATGGTTTGTTCAAGAATCCCCTACCTTCTCCTCAGTAGAATAGCAAGAAAAGCAGAGTGTTTCCTCTTTGACATTTCTCAGTGATTTTGCTGATGTTCTCCAGATCTAAGATGAGTTCACTGGAGACAACATCTACTTTTTAGGCGATGTTGAGCTAAGTCCTTCCATTTGTCCATGAGGCGCCCATCTGATACCCAGTGTGACAATCCATTTTGGTTCAGTTCTCAGCATGAGAGTGGTCCTTTAGCAAAGTGTGTTGGGATTGCGGAAGGAGGTGGGGAAGCACTTGTGTTTTCCCGACGTCTTGATCAGCTTTGAGCAGTTGTAAGAACATCATCCCAGCTACATATATCACACCAGATATATACCCATTTCCCAGTGATGATTCCCAATTATCATCTCAGCACAGGGCTTGGAAAAGGCAGCTAAGAAGGAAGAGTTTCCTCTCCTGTGTGCATCAGAAAACCACATCTCCATCCAGCCTGCAACACCAAGCAAGAGGGTGGGAGATGACTTTGGTGCTCCTTCTGTGTCTACACTGAACAACTAGTGCCCATCTTATGCCAGGAGAGAAAATATATATTTCACTCTGGAAGAAGCATTCAATTCCAGTTCAACCCAATTTATCAGGTTTGGCTTGGGGTGAAACACACACTGGACACCTGAAGGCTGTCCAAGGCCTTTCTGCTGGTGGGAAGGGATGGGGAGGAGATGAGGATGGAGTGGCCAGAGCCTGTTGCAGAGGTGTGGGGATAGGGATGGTGGTTGGGACACTCGAACTGCCCCCACGCTGGTTGCTTCCTCAAGGCAGCTTCTTAGGCAGGATCACTGACATTTCCTTGAAGCCACCTAAACCTCCCCATCCTTTCGTCATGACAGTCACCTTGGGGTCACTTTGGCCATGTTTGTAAGGAAAGGGAACAGAGCCCTTTCCCTGCCCAGCACATCTCCATCCACCCAGCCAGTGCATCCACGGGTGCACGACCCACCAGGACATCCCCTGCAGGAAGGAGCTCATCGGCGTGGAGCACATCTCTGAGGGTCACTCTATGGTGCTGGGCCTGTGCCCTAGCCTGGCTCCATTCACTGACATCAGCACAGCCCTGGCTCAGCCTGTTGCCCAATTTCTACCTGGGCTTTTGTGAGTTTTGGAGGCTTGCATCTCTTTATAAAAAAGGAGAGGAGGTTGATGATTGTAATGAAGAAGCCTTTAATATAAATTTTACTTTAATGGACACATTTTACACAGTAAAATAATTGGCGTGTACAGGGCCTCTAGATTCTCTTGCTGATTCTCTTGTAGGTGAGGTCTCCCATGGTCAGAGTCTGAAAAACAAATGGAAAGCGTTAGCTTTTCATGGCGCTTGGCTCCAAACTCTACTTGGAAATGATCTGGTCTTGTAAATCAAAACAGGATTGGTCCCCAGTCTATCATCTCCCATAAACTTGAATTATTAAAGCTTTGTATTTCTTCATGAATACCCCAAAGCAGGTAGGGATAATCTGGCATCACTCAGCCGGGATCAGTCTGCTGCACCTCTCTTTTTTAAACATGCCAGGCCCAGCCACAAACATATACATCTGGGTGGACAAGAACATGCCCTCATTGCATGAAACTTTGATCAGAAATGCCTATTGGGGTCTGAAAGAATACTTGTTGGATCAGACTATACCGAAAAACTGCCTTCAGTGCCTGGCCAACTGACCAGCTTTGGCTACAGAGCCTGAGCGTGAGCATGTGCTCATGTCCAGCACCTCTGTAAGGTCCCCACCATCTCTGTAGGCTTTGTAGGGCCAGAACCCTGAAGGCAGCCGTAGGCACTGTTACTCCAGCCATTGCCACTCTTTTCTACACTTACGTTGGTGATGGTGTCTCCGTTGAGTTCAGTGACGGATGTCAGCCCTTTCAGGGTTGCAACCAGTTTGTTACCCTCCAGCTGAACAACAGCCTGGTAGTGAGGGGAGGAGACAAAGGTATTCATGTTATCACTGCAGACCATATCAACCCCTGCATTTTGTCCTTTCCCTTCTGTACTGAGTTGCCACTGTCCCCTCTGCAAGCTGTTTGGAGCAAGCTGCTCCCTTGGAGCTTTCCTGGGAGGAGGAGGAGAGAGGGTTGTGCTGGTGGTGACTACAACACAGCAAGGGTATGGATGTTTACTTTGGGCTCTACAGGGGTGCAATTTTGCTGCCATATCTATCTTTCCCTTCCAAATAGAGAATCACTCATGGTTTCTGCACTGTTAGATGCCAGAGCATGGATTCTTGGCATCACATCACGTGAGTTTTGGGGGAGAAGAAGGAAGGCTTTTCACCCTGCCAATGCTGATGCCTCTGTGCAGCCCTGATGCTCCTTGGGGCAGCTCCTCATGCAGCACCAAGACCAAGAGGACCTGCACACCTCCAAGGAGAGGACTGCAGAGTCACCTGAGCTGGTCCAGGGCATGCCACATTGTCTCCATCACCAACCTATTGCACATTGCAGCAGCAACCTCCCTTGGGTTGGGGTCATGGGGAGCTAGGCAACAGCATGGGACTGGGGGGAGTCTTGGTCAAGGTGGGAAAAAATTTGAGGAGCTTTCAGAAACACTGTCACAGCTGGAAAGCTCTCAGGGGGACGGGCACATCTGCTGAGTCTCTGATCCCCCCAAGGATCTGCATGTCTAAAAAGGCTACAGACAGCACCAACACCTCCAGGGCAGCTATCACTGATCATTGAAATTACTCAAATAACCCAGCAAAAACATTTTCTGTTCATCTGTCTGTCCAGTTGTAAGACACGTTCTTCTGCCCTTGTGGTGCTGATTTATGGAGGGTGAAACTCTTCTAATAGCCATTTCCCCCTCGTTTATGCACAAGGGACTTCAGAGATGTGGGAAATCATGATACAGCTGATACAGCTATCAGGTCCCGATTCACAGGGGCGTTTCTTGGGTAATCATTCCTTCTGCTTTCAAAAGTCCCTGCAATATCATCTTCTCCCAAGGCAGAGGTGAGAGGCAACATTTGCCAGTGGTGCTGACTTGACATTTTATGAACCATTGGAAACTAATGTCCAGGAACGGGAGCTGACCCAATTTCAAGGGTTATAAATCCTCACCTTGCCAAATCATCTCACCCAGTGTAAACAGGAGCAGTGGAAAAGGCTACCAGAGAAGCTAACAGCTGCTGGGACTCAAAAGGAGAGATTTATTAGTTTATGATTCATTGTCTGACTTTCCTACACTACCTTTAGGTCAACAAAATTAAGTGGGGGTATGTTTCGTGTTGCAATATGACAGAAAGTCAACCCTTTTCCACCTCAAATCTTTCAGACCTTTTGCCGTCAGAAGGATTTACCAAAGCATCTCTAGCCTCCTTTTCCAAACGGGCTATCAAAAGACTGGCTCCCAATGTTTTCCAAACTCGCTATTAAAATAGGTTTAGAAAGGCAAGGCTTCATCTGCAGAAGTGCTGGTTGGGGAGCTTGTACAGTGTGTTGTAAAAGCAAATAGGGGAGGTAGGAACTTCAGAGTCTCAGGCTCTGAGTTTTTTGGGAAGGTGGCTCAGAAATGGACTGTCATTTTTGGAAATGTGTCCCTAAGAGCCTTGTTGAGGACCTGCAGGGCAGCAGGAGACACATTTGCAGACTTGGTTTCAGCAATTAGCCCCTTCCCATTGTATTAAATCATGCATGCAGACTGACAGGGACAGAACCAGGTCTTTGCCCTGTGTCAGCTTTAACACCCGTGGTCTTGTCATTCCCTTTGGCCCAAGTGCAGGGGGGATGCCAGGAAAGGAAATTTAACGTCCCTGAGCCCCTGCAGCCCTAGCAGAGGAGGAGCTGAACTCACCTTGACCTTCTCTCCCGTCAGCAACTCCATCTCGCACTCCTCCCCGACGGTGAACTCGTTGTGCAGCACTTTGGAGCCAGTGGTCACGGTAACCTTGAACTTTTTCCCATCCTGCACAATTTCTGAGATGCTCTTGATGTCCTTGCCCTTCTGGATCTGGTCATCAGGAAGCCCTGCCCAGGAACAAGAGACTTTAAGTGGACCTTGGAGCCATTGGTGGGCAGATTGCTGCTGCCAAATGAACATGGTGGGGTTTGGAGACCCACATCTGGGAGGATTTCTATTCTAGTGTGGAAAAGCCTCACAAGGATGATGGTTCCCCAAGGGCCACACAGCCCTGGGTCTTCTGGGGAAGAAGAATAACAAATACTGTCATCCTGGGTTTGTGTGGGAACTAGACTTCTCCCTTGCCCCACCAACTTGGCTGGGAGCAGAACAGCTACCTCCCTGGCCAAGCGTCAGAGGGAAAGAAGAAACCCTGATTTCCTTCCTTCACTGAGAGGCAAGCAGAGAAAATAGAATAAATCAAGGCAGAAGGAGGGAGCCAAGTGGGTTTTTTATGAGATTCAGAGTCCCACAGAACTAGCTCACTGAAGTTTCCTCCCAAAGCCTGAAGCTGATCTGCCAGGTAGAGCCTCTCTGGCACATAACTGTGCAGAAGTAGTGCAAAGCCCCCTGAATCCCTGCAGGAGCACGTTCCCTGACACTGTCACTGGTGGAAATCTAGCTAGCCACATTCATCATTAAGCATTTAAACAACCTGTCTATTTTTCTGATGAATGGTGGATTTTGGGGCTTTGCAGCATCGCCGAGCAGCAGCACAGTGGGCTGAGCAATGTCCTGCTTGCTCTCACATTCCACAGCCTGATGGGGCAGATCTGCAGTTGCCCTAAGCAGGTCCTACCGGCTTAGCACGTGTGTGCAGCACTGCCGCGCTGGCCCCTGGCTGCAGGCACTGCTGGGACCGTTTTACAAGTCATAAAATTTCACCCAGCATCTCTTGACCTCCAGCCACCAACCAGAGACATGCTTTCACTTCTATTTTGAGATCACATCTCCATGCACGTGCGTTTAAAAAACCCCAGCAATTGCAAGATGACAGACAGGAATAGGAAATCTGAGAGAGGTTTTCAATCTACATCATCAGCACATTGGCAGAGTTAGACTCCCAAATATCAGTGGGATCTGCAGAGGCAAAGCAGCACACAGCGCATGCGGGCACTTACCGAGGGCTTTCATAAAAGGCTCAAAATTTTCCTGGGACTGGAGTTCGTACTTTCCAGTGAAGCTCATGATGGAAAGGCTCTCTGTGCTCCCAACACAAGAGAAGGTGCCTTGCTGGTAAGCAGAGCTTGGTTTTATAAGGGCCTTTTGCCCTAAAAGTTGGTCAGAGGTAAGATGATGTAATTCTTTTATGGCCATGTTCAAACATTAACATAAACTGGGCAATGGTCAGTGATAAATTGCTCTACATTTTACAGACCTCAGTTTACAACATGGGGGCAGGGAAAATCCCATAAACCTGTTTTATGGCGGTAGCAATGTGGCATCCATAAACAAACGATAATAATATAATTGTGCAAAGAGATTAATTATCAGAGGAACGAGCCAAATCATCTAACCAGCTTGCAATTTGGTAGTGCACATCTGGAAGAGGAGAAAACGGTGAAAGATTATGGTGTCCCCTGGAGCTGACACTGGTGGGGTTTCTACTCGCTGATGTATGCACGGTGGGTCTTTAGCATCGGCATAAAGAGTAGTGGCTGCACACTGGCAGGGACTAACTTACTCCTTCAGATGCCTTGCAGTCCTCTGTAATGGTTACACCTCTGGGCTTTGGTGTAACCCAGATGTAGCAGTAGTCACAAAATCATCATTGTCCCCTAAGGAAAAAAACATCACTCAAAAACAAATCCTGGGCTTGAACTGGCCTGCAGTTTAATTCAGACTCCATCACTATGGCCTTGCCTCCAGAAAGGGGTTTTGTGTGGATAGATGGACCGGTGCCATTAGTGATCAACCAAGGCTATTGCTAGGAGCCACCACTAAAACCCCCACTCCTCTTCTTTCCCCAGAAGAACCAGTCACTCATGTACTGAAGGAGCATCCCAGCCCTCGGAGCTGCGTTTCTACCAAATACTACGCCAGAAGTAGGGCCAGCAGCAGGCTCCAAACTGAGCCCGATTCCTCACTCCAAAGCAGGACTTGGGGCTGGACTCCTCTCCCAGTGTGGTCGCCTTGGCTGAGCGTCCCGGGTTGCTGCATGGCGTCCAAGCATCCATCTTCCGGGTCTGGACTCCCAGGCTCAGCTTCTTGCTGCCATCTCCTCCTCTGCCCCAATGAATTCCTCCTCCCTCCCAAAGTCACCAGCTCTGGGACTTTCCCCCTTTTCACTCATATGCCTTCTCCTCTTTGAATTCTTCCATTCTGCCTTCTCATAGCATCTTTGGCCTTTTTTGAAGTGAAATCACGGATATGCTTGAAAAAAATGTCTCCTTCCAAGTTGGAGATTCTGCCAGAGCCCCCTGCAGCCGCCCGTCCTGCTCCGGCAGGCTCAGCCCGGGGCTGCCGCCCACCTCTGCTCTCTGCGCTGCAGTGGTGCACAGTGACACTGCCCGGGCTAGATTCAGCCTCAGTTTCTGGTTAATTAGTACAGGCAGTGTCTGCCTGAGGAGGCAGGAGAGGGGAAACCTCTGCTGGTGGGCGGGTGGTGGGCAAAGTTGGCTGGGGAGGGCGTCCATAGGGGACATCACCCCTCCGCACCACGGAGGGGGACGGGCAGGTTCAGAGAGCACCTCATGGGAGGTGGGTTGATTCAGCAATTTCTCCAAACAGCTCTTCAGCTTGTTTTCCCTTTTATCTCCTGCTTCCCAACAGGAATGACATCACTGTAGGAATCGCATTTCATTTTTTCCCCCACCCCGTTGAGTACCCCGGGGTCACGCTGGGCTGCACCGCCACACATCCCTTTTCAGTGTCTTCTTCATGAGGACAGAGGTGACTGACCTCTCTGGCCGGGTCCTGGCAGCAGCCAGAGCTGGCAGCTCCCTGCCTCCCTCCAGGCAGTGTCCACTGGCCATTGCCACCTAGAAGCACTCAGGTGCCTCTCGTATTCATGCCCTGGAGCTCTGGCTGCTCCTCCAGGCAATTCTGGTCCCCTCTCCTTGCATGATGGGGAAGGAGATTCAGACTTGAAAAAACACCTGAATATTTTGCTGTCTGACTCATTTCAGAGCCCAGCGCTCCCAATTCACTCTGGGGTGATCACCGTGGGAAAGCTCCAGCTCTGCATGGCTCATTTTTCTTCCACCATTGTCAACTGGAGCAGCCTGGAGTTGTGGTTTTAATTAATTTTTCAGTGAGACACACTCATGGACCGGCTGCATCTGACCATATCCCACTGCCGGGGCGGGTGCTCAGTTGTCACCCATTTCCCCATGCAGGCTAGGGAGAAGGGGTGGCAATTAAGTCAGTAAGGAGAGACCTTTCTCAGGTAACCCCAGCCACGTCCAGTGCAATGAGTGCTTCTGAGTTGATACCTCGATGAGCTGAAGGAGAGAAATAGGAGAAACACATGAGTAGTGTCCCAGGACTGCCTATCCCCCTCCAGCCTCTCCAAAAGAAGCCTACGTGAGTAGGGCGTTTGTAAGTGTTTCATATTAGCCAAGATGAATCCAATCTTAGATGCCTGAAGGAGCACCTGGTATTTTCCCTGGCCTGCCATCTCAGCCACTGCAGACTTCCCAGGCCCACAATCTCCCTGGGAGACCCACGCCAGCTTGAAAGGACGTACAACCAGAGAGCTAATGAGACCCGAGGCTAAGATAGGATTCGGAAAAGCCCACCAGGTTTTGTCCCACAAACTTTTAAATGGTTATCATGCTTAATCTGGGCAGCTGAACCACTCAGAAAAACACCAGAAGTTGAGCGAGACCTCCTCCTGGGCAGGCCAGGCTCCTAAGGTCTGGATGTTGCCCATCAAATGTTAAAAGAAGAATATAATTGTTCAGGAGTCTCTTGGTTGGCAGAAATGGGCAACTCATGAGAGAATTCACCCCACTTGTGACCCAAATTGTTTTCTGCAGGTATCCTCTCCTCTTCTCACTTACTGTGAATAGATATATCTATGCTACCAGCTTTGGTGCATTGGATAAATGTGAACTGTGGATCACTGCTGGCAGGTTTGGAAATGCAACCAACTGATTTTTGATCAATGATCAGACATAAAACCTCTTTGTTTTGTCTGCAAGTATTCTGCTGAACTCACGTTCTTTTATTTCCCCAAGTAAAGAAATGCAGAAGTTCTTATAAAAAAAGAAGAAACCCTTACTGAACGAAATTTGGGCAGGGTAATTATTATCTAGCCAGGCCTGCTGAGCAAACGGCAGGTGAGATAAACTTAATCTCAATAGCAAAGTTCAGAATACTTGCACATCTCTCCACCAGAATACAGGATATTTTAAAACATGACGACACTTTAACTTTCCAGGCTCAAGAAAATGCACCTGATTTGCATTAACACAAGGCCAAGTCAATTGACCATTTGATTAAAACTAAATCCTTACCCTAAAACCTGGACCTGGTTTATAGAAAGAGAAAAGTCATGGATCATTTTAAAAAATTATTGGGGCAGCTATGTCTTGTGGGAAGCCAGCAGGTACTTTTGTGTTTCAGTTGCTTTGAAAATAAAGTGTAGGATCTTAGAAGCTTCTCAGAAAACAGGACGCAAGTGTCTCATTTCTGCTTCTTGCACCTGAATCAAAGATATGGACATGCAAAACTTCTCAGCTCCGTCCTAGCTGTGGAGGTATCTGAATGCTTTGTGTCCCAAGGTGATGAATCAGAGAAATGCCGGTTGGGAGCAATCTCTGAAGGTCTCTGGTTCAACCTCCTGCTCAAAGCAAGAACATCACGAACACCAACTCAACCATGGCTTTGGCCAAATCTCAAAACCCATCTCCTCTGCCTCTCTGGGTACCTGTCCTGGGGCTGCGCCACCCACCTCTTGAAAAAGAAGTGCTCAACCCAAATCTTCCAAAGTGCAATTTGTGGCTGGTGCCTCAGGGTATAACATCTGCCATAATCAAGAAGAGTTTGGCCCCATCATCTCTGTGGCTGCCCGTGGAGCAGTTGCAGGCTGTTATCACCTTCCCTCAACCCTTCCCTGGGATTCCTGGTCCCAGCTCCCACTTTCACTCAGTGTGTGCCAGGACACTGGGAAACCACCCTCCTACATGCACTGCTTCTTGTGGATTTGGACGTTATGACTGGGAACAGGGATTTGAGTCTCAGGGCTCCTGTAGCAAAAATCCTTCTCTGCCTCCTCCAGTTTGAACTAAACCTCTTATTTGAGCTCTGAACTCTGAAAAAGAGTTTACAGTCGGAGCAATGTGTGGGGAGAGGCACTTTGCTGTAGCCCAGGACAGGGTACCTGGCAGCCTTGTGGAGGTCTGGGAATGTCTTCATGCATCTCACCTCTATCTCATCTCTCGCTTTTCTTCTCTATCCCACCAGTGACTCCCCAGACTTTGTGAAGCCTTTGGTTTCACCTCAGTGCTTTGGGAAGTTGGGACTGGGCTCTACACTAGGATTTTCTTAGCCCAAATGTGAAAAACTACAAGCCAGGGCTTTTGCTGATTCAGTGATGGATTTCTCTAATGCAGGTGCAGTTGGACACCCTAGAACCCCTAGCCATTTCTTGAAGAGCTTGGTCACAAGTTTGCCAATCACAGATCCCCAAGTGGGCTTCCCTCTGTCTCAACCCATATTATTGCTTGGGCCATTCCTATTTCTGCTGTGCTCGTACCTGGGAACTTGGTCTGCTGCCCAGTTTTCACATCTTTGGTCTGATTATTTTTAGCCTTGAGGAGCAAAGGTTGCTTCAGCAGGCCACATGGCTGCATTGCTTCGAAAGGTTGGACGGGGTGGGCAAAGATGCTGCTGCTGCTACCATGAACTCTTTGTCCCTCTTGGTTTCCACCAGGTTTTCATTGTGCTGCATTACCAAGACAGCACTGAGATAAAATACAGCACCTTTCCCAGATTCTTCTCTTTTTAAAACGGCCGTGGCAGTCTCCTGGTGGTTGGCTGCCTCCAAGCTGTAACATCCAAGCTGTAGACATGCTAGCGCCAGTTCATATTGGTTTAGATTAGTTATGTCATTATCAGAGCCTTGATAAGACTGCCAAAAGCAGCAGCTTGTACAAAGCGCTGCTGCTTGATAAAGCTTTCAATTAATGCCGAAATTCAGCGAAGGGCAGCCCTCAGCCCTTGTCATCTTATTACAAAGGTCCCAAAGGGAGCAAAGGCTCAGTATTGCTTCTCTAAGG